TTTTTTTTTTTTTTTTTTTTTGGCGATCTCCAGAGGAAAAATCTTCGTGAGAGTGTACACAACGTGTCATAAATATTGTGCAGCATGATCTCTCATGTTGAGAGCGCATTCAAATTAATTATCAACTGCATCATGTGGAGAATAAGCCTCCCCAAAATTTTTTCATTATTCTCCTTTTTTTACATACAGTGCTACAGGAATTTAGAAAAAAACGACAACTTTAACGATGCTATTTGGAGATACAGAATTGAGGAAGCCCAAATGAAGCGACCATGCGACGCGAAATCGATGTGAAGTGTGGAACAATCCCATACACCTCTCATTATTTTTTTCCATTTACATTAGGATATCCCATCGAGAGGGAAAGGAACCCCCCCCCCTACGTTGGAAGTTCACATAAAGTTACTACATTTGAAGTAAAAAAAAAGAACCATGTTAAATACATCACACAAATTATCACGTTATTTGAATGTGCCTTTAGTGGGTTATTCTCCTCCGTGGGCGCATGACCATTTTTTTATTCGTACGTCTTTCTACATTTTTTAATTGCCAACAACGCGGTGTCCCTCTTTTCTTTCCTGTTAACGATTTTTTTTTTTTCGTAATAGTGGGACAACATTATGAAGTGATGCAGTTGTTGTCACATTTGTTTCCCATACAAATTGTTCCAACGGAAATGGTGGCAGGAACGCACAAAAAAAAAAAGGGGCCTGCAAAGAGTATATACACTACCACTATACGTGCGCTACGTACTCGATAGGTATATTATTATAGCCCCCCCCATTTGTGGGATTTTTTTTTTGAAAAGGTTTAAACTGTTCCCCCTTTTTTTTTTGCCTCGCCTATGCACGTAAAAAAAGAACAAAGAAAAGTACGTTAAATATATAATATTTTCAAGGGGGTTTAAAAGAAAAAAAAATTATGAACGGTGCATAATTTTTTTTTTTTAAAAAGCATGAACCATAAATGGTGTATATTTTATATTGTATAAGTCAGCCGGGGTATCCGTCATAGAAATTGAGACTTTCCCACTTTTTTTTTCTTCCATTTTTATTATTTTACGGAGGAACATATATATAAAGCGATAATAGTTTATACCTTGGAGAGGCTTCTTTAAGCATACCCCATCGGAGCCTAAAATTGTAGGAAAGTTTAGGAAGTAATAATAAATACCCCATTGTGAGCATATAACTCGGGCGATCAAAAATAACGCCCCTCGTTTTTTTATATCCTTCCCCCCCAACATACAAAAACGGGTGTACAATTTTCTTATGGGCTGATTTTTTTTTTTTTTTTCCTACCACAATTAAGGGCATATAACATTGTCGCACAAAAAAAAAAAACATAATAAATGTTTATTGTAACACTTTGGAAAAACCATCCATGAAAATATATTTTAACGCATAAAAATAATGCTACAAAAAAAGAGTCAATTTTAAGAAAAGATATTGACATGCTCCTTTTCGTAGGAATTTTTTATTTTAATATATAGAATAAATTTGTACAAAACCAAAGTTCGCGCTGTTGGAGAAGCAAAATGGTAAGTCACTTGTTCCAAAAAGGGGGAACCCCATTTGTTTACATAATTGGCGTGATTTGCGCGATTGTGTTCCATGTTGGCAGAGCGCAGAGAGCGAGGAAAGGGCTAATCAAAGGAAGGAAAAAAAAAAAAAATTTCAATTCCACCTTTTTTTGATGAAGCCAACCTCCGTTTTAACCCCATCCACCGTTCTGCTGCCATGGCGTTATGTCAATGTGCCGCCTGCGGATTTGCTTCCCATATGGGGAGTGGATCCTCTCCTCACATGAGTTAGCCCCTCCCCATCTGTACATGAGCATAAAAAAATAAAATAATCGCGACGCATTCTCTAACTTCACCCCCCTTCCCCTTCCCCTCCATAGGGACGAGTACGAACGAAAACCATCAAAAGGGCCGCCAGGCAAATTGTGGAAAAGTACTATGCCAAGCTAACCCTGGACTTTCAAATAAACAAAAAGATAACAGAGGAAGTTGCCATCATTCCCTCGAAGAGAATGAAAAATAAAGTGGCTGGATTTGTTACCCATCTGATGAAGAGGATTCAGAAGGGACCTGTAAGAGGTATCAGTTTGAAGCTCCAAGAAGAGGAGAGAGAAAGACGCTTAGACTTTGTTCCGGAGAAATCCCAAATAGATGTCAACGTCATTTATGTCGAGCCGGACACCGTGCGTATGATTAAGGCACTGGGAATAAACATCAGCAACATGAAGGTGCACAATCCCATGATCAACTCGAACCAGCAGAAGCAGAACAGGATGAACACGCATTACTAGGAGAGGGGGTATAGCGGCCAGAATAGAGGAGACGGGCGTTGTACGTGTAGCAGCTAGGGTCTCCTTTGAAAAGCGCGTTTGAGGCCACGCCTTGAATTGGGACTAAGCGAGAAGCGCATCACAGCTACGAAGTTTTAGAAGCGCTTTATAAAAGTAGGACCCACCACGTGTAGCTTACCTTCACGTCCGCAGCATACATAGAGGCATATAAATCTGTACGCACTACCCCAGCGGATGTTCACACATGTAACCATTTCGTTTTTTCTTTTTTTCTTTTTTTTTTTTTTTTTTAAAAAACAGCCACGTACGAACTGAACCGTTTGACTCCTGTTTTAATTTTTTGAAATGTGAATATAAAGATGACCGAGGTGTGGAAGTTGTTCCATTGCCTTGGTATATCTGCTGAGCAGGTGCGCAGAGGATAACCCACACCGCATCGAACAGTATATATGCGTGTTACTGTATGCACTTCGGGTAGAGGTGTCATTACCTCCACATGTGCCATTCATATGGATGTTGTGGACCATGGTGTTATGTAATGGTTGGAGAAGCAACCAAGGTTCGGTAAACCATTACTGCCCATTTGTCATGCCTAGTAATATTGTTCCTTTTTCAAGGGTGATTTTCCCCCCATCACTAATGATCGATGTTCTTACGGGAAGGCAACTCCCTCGCAACTACACCAATATTAATAAATGGTGCTTAATTTTTACTTGAGAGTAAAGTTCAAATTTTTTGTGAGACCGGCGAAAAAAAGGGGGGGATGTATAAAAAAAAAAAAAAAGATCTCTCTCCCCAATTCGAGGAAAAAAAACTACGCAACACACGTAACACAAGAGAGCGGTCATCATTCGGACGCGCCGATAAGAGAGGGGAAAAAAAAAAAAAAAAAAAAAAAAAAAAAAATGCACATTTATTCATTATCCGCCTTATTATTAAGGTCATCAAAATTTAGCTTCTCTCCAAAAAGGTTTTCCCATATTTGAAGAAGATCATTTGTGGCGGTTTCGAAATGAGAAGTAGCATCATAGGACGACGTGACAAAAATGTTATCAGCTGGTTTGTTCGTCGTGGAAACGTAAAGGTCGGAAATCTTCACAAATTTGTCTTCAATTGGTCCCAAAAGTTCAAGCGGTTTCTCGATTTCCTTTAAGGGGTTATTCGTTTCAACGGTGGCGGACACGATTGCAATGTACTTACCCTTAAGTGAAACACCATGTTGGAAGGAAACAAGATTTATATAAATGTCACTTTTCCTGTTTAGCTGATTTTGAGGGATAATAATTTGGCAGCTATTTATGTCGTTGGTTTCTGGGATGGGGTTACTTAAAATGCATATACATCTGATAACCTGTCCTATTTTTTTTACTTTGTTTTTCAAATGTATAACATATGAAGGATCACAAATGACTTTGTCACAGTAGGCAATCTCTCCATCACTTGATTTAATTCCACATACTTTTTTATTTTCATCAAAAACAAAATCAACCACATTTTTATTCAGCATAAAGGTGCCCCCGTTAATTGCACACATTCTGGAAAAGCCTTCTGGAATTCCTCCCAGGCCATACAAGGGATAAATAAAAGGAGACTTTCCAAAGGCTGAAATGGATTGCATGTACAGTTTAATTCTCTCCAATGTTTTGTAAGCTGGTTCCTTCAAATAATCATCATTTAGGTATAGTGCTACTGCATGGCCTAGAAAATCGATCGTCAGTTGACACAAATTGAAGTACTTATATATTTCCATCATCGTTAATCTGTATGGGTCTAATCCATCCCAGGTGTTTCTGTTGTTGGCATCCCACTCACTTACATACTTGTAAAAATTTTTGCATCTGTTCTTTTCCATAAGTGAGAGTAATGGGGAGACCAGCGCTTCCATATCTGTGGCGGGCACTTTGTGAATAAACTTCTCCGAGTAGAGCAACCCCTTCTTCTGGTGCTGGTACACGTAAGACCCTTCGACGACTAGCCATTCCAGGTAATTGGTGACCCTCGTTTTTTTCAAAATCTTTACCAAATTTCCGCCCACCAAAATGAACTTCGGAATCAGGTCCACGTTCCAGTGTCGGTTCTCGCCGTACTTGCTCGGGATCTTCTCATCTGACAAGCGGTCAAACGGAGCGGTGAAGGGGTTAAAGCGGTGTGCAGTGAATAGTTACGTAGAGGAGCCTGGCAGTAAAAATTTCCCTTGCCAGGCCACACAAAGTATAGCGCTTCCACGCACACACAAGCAGTTTGCCGCCGTCCAGCGGGCGCACGCTCGAACAAGCACTCACTTGGCTTAAAAGTGCTGTACAAGTTGGTTAAGTTGAGGGACGCCGTTTCTCCGCCATAGTAAGGGTTCCTATCGAGCACAAGAATTTTCTTTCCTGTAAAAGTGGGGAAAACCAACACGTATGCGCATAAATATATGTCCACATGGGGTAATTGTTTTTTTTTTTTTTTTTTTTTTTTTTTTTCCCCGTTCAGGCGATATTATGATGAGAGGAAAAAGAATGTGTTTCTCGAAGCAGCCATATCCACGTGAACAGAAGCCAGAGTGCATATTCGTTTTACCATAATGTGACAGGAGTCCACTCAGGATGCATTCCTTCAGCCCTGTGCCAAGAATGATTACCTAAACGTTTTGAAGAACAAGATATGTGTGAACGGTTCGCAGAATTGTATGAACGCTCAGGTGAAGTGGAACGTTCAGCACAAATGAGCATAAAGAACGGTCTTATGCGAAGCGATCATGCGGAAGGCATCATGAATGCAACGGTACAATGAGGGTAGTACATAGGGGTAAGCACTGGAACATTCTACGTTTATACGAATGTGACGATTCGTGCTCTCATGCGCATAATATGCATCTCTGTGCGCGTATTTTTGTTCTCATTGTATTACATCATAATGCTCATTCATTGTATTATCTTGCGTTGGGTGGAAGGAAATAACTTTGGGGTTCTCTTGTGGTAGTTTCGCCTTAAAATGAAATTCTCCTCGGTTATTTTGCTGCTCCTTTTACGCTTTTCCCCTTTTCTGCTTTTTTTTTTTTTTTTTTTTTTTTTTTTTTTTTTTTTTTTTTTTTTT